CCTCACTGTGCGCGCGCCTGTTGCAGCATCACGCACCTGATGCTACCTTCACGTCGGTGTGTCTGTCCAACTCGTGTCAAAAGGACATTCACACTGATTCTCCCAACCTTCCGGGAACTACAAACCTCATCCTACCAGTGTGTCTTCCTAAGCGTGGGGGCGATCTTTGGGTTGAGTTAGGTAGTGGGGATGTTGTTAGGGGGTCTATTGTAGAGCACACTGATGCACGAGGTCGCAAGCGTCACGGTGTGGTGCACAGACTTGAAGAGGATGAAGTTTTCGAGTTTGATCCTAAGCGGCATCATTTCGTAACTCCCTTCAAGGGCACCCGCGTCGTTGTTATAGGCTACACTTCCGACGTGCTTGGAAAGGCCGAAAAAGATGACCTTGACGGCTTAGCAGATTTGGGATTTCCTCTCCCAGACTCCGCCTATCTCCAGGCCCCGCGTCTGTCTCAAGTACAGGAGGAGGAGGAGGCCACTGAGGCTCATGAGATCCCTATCCATCAACACCCTAGCTTCCCGGAGAGCCAACCCGTCAACAAAGGTGGTGGTTGGCAAGAAGTCTTTCCAGTTGCAGATGGGTTTGTAGACTTCGCTGTGAACTGGTCGTGTTCGTATCGGCCAGTTGCCCCTGTATGCAGCCCCTCTAAAGAGGAGGCCGGACCAGAGCAGAACCAAAGACCCGTTGAGATTGATGAGGCCTGGCCGGTTACTGTGTCTTGGGACATGTATGTTCCGCAGGAGCCCATGAGCGATGCCGCAAACGCCAGCAACTGCAGTTTGAGGGTGCTTAAGGTTGTAGAAAGTGGTTCGCGGAGCTCGTTAGAGGAGGAGGGTTTCGTAAGCGAAGGTAGACCCGTAATCCCCTACCGCCTGTGCAAAGCCGAACCGACGTTCACGAAGAACATAGAACACCTTCTAAGCAATCTAAGCTCACCTCTGCAAATCGTTCACACTGTAGACCCCGCAGAAGTCGCACTCAATCCAATCCCTTGGATTCCGTCCATTGAGAAAGAAGTAAAGGCCATTGAGCATGCGGTGCTCAGACTGCGCCCTTCAGACCCCAGGCAGGCCGAGTACTTGAGTGATCCTCGACTGCAGGTGGTACCTTCCAAGTTTGTGTTCACAGTGAAACCGCCCGACCAAGGGGCAGCAGCTGTTGGTGACACTGGGAAGCTTGCGCTCACTCAGCCCGACAACAGTACAGAGGCCCTTCAGGGCGCTCCAAAGGCTTCGTCGCAAGGCCAAAGTTTGTACCGTCGGAAAGCGAGACTTGTTGCTTGCGGAAATGTGGCGCCAAATACAGGCTTGGATGTGTATGCTGGAGGTGCTCAGGCTGAGAGCTTGAGAACAGTGATTGCCCTGGCAAGCTTCTTTGGTTGGTTGTTGGGAGTGTTGGATATCACCAGCGCGTTCCTCAAAACGCCTATTCCTTGTCTTGAAGGTTTCCCCATCTTTGCGTTGACCCCGCCCCGCTTGTTGGTCAAGCTTGGTCTTGCAGTTGCACATGAGCTGTGGATACTATCCCACGCGGTTTACGGCCTTCGAGAGGCCCCGCGCTTGTGGGGACAGTATCGAGATGCTTGTTTGGCAGCGTTGGTGTGGGACCTTGACGGCGTGACCTACCGGCTTGAGTCTTCGACCCTAGACCCGAACTGGTGGAAAGTCGTCAGGGTTGAAGGTGGTCGAGTTGAGGGCGCATTGTTGGTGTACGTTGATGACTTCTTGTTGTGTGGGTCGCTAGGTGTCCTTCAAAGTTTGGCAAAGGCTCTGCAAGAAAAGTGGGCCACAACACCGTTTGTGGTAGCTACCCCAGAGCAGCCGATCAAGTTCCTTGGCGTGGACATCATTGTCATTCCTCGTGGGTTTGTTCTCTCACAGCAGTCGTACGCAGAAGAAGTCTTGCGGCTTCATGAGGTACCTTGCCACGTGAGGGGTAGAATCCCTTGTCCTCGGGAGCTAGCGTCGTTTGAAGTTGGCGAAGGAGACTCCAGCCCCCCTGACGGGGAGGCCGTTCACCGCGCGCAACAGGTGACTGGTGAACTGCTGTGGTTGTCTCAACGTACTCGCCCGGACCTGGCGTTCACTGCCAGCTTGCTTGCTAGTTTGTCTACGAAGGCGCCTTGTCGTGCTCTACGCATTGCTGACCGTGCCTTGGCTTACTTGCAGCGAACCAAGACAGCGTCGCTGGTGTTTGAGGCGGACGGAACCCAACTTCACGGTTGGAGTGACGCAAGCTTCTCGCCAGAAGGCCTTCGCTCACATGGAGGCTGGTGCGTGTGTGTGCATGGATGTCCAGTTGCTTGGAGGTCGGCGCGTCAAGCTTTTGTGACACTTTCTACTGCTGAAAGTGAACTCACTGCTTCGATTGAGTGTGCAATCGCGCTTGAATCAATTGAGGCGTTGCTTCACACGGTTGGTTTTGACGTTGCGGAAGAAAGGGTTTTGCACGTTGATTCCCAAGCGTCACTTGCGATTTCTGACGGTCATGGATCATGGAGAACGCGACACCTACGGGTAAGAGCCGAGTACCTTCGTGAGCAGACTCGCTCTGGGAAGCTGAGGCTTGCCTTCTGCCCGGGTGTGGAACAGCTTGCAGATCTACTGACCAAACCTCTTCCGTCTGCAAGGATTGAAGAGCTTGTCAGGTTATGGGGCATGCGTGACTTTGCGGGTGATACAGCCGACCGAGAGGTCAGGCCGAGCTCGTCAGCAGCTGTCGACCCAGTCGCGTTGAGTGCCTTGTTGTGTTTGCTTCAGATCCAACCTGCACGAAGCTCAAGCCGTGAATCCGAGTATCCTGGCTTGCAGCTTGATGGATCCCTGGAGCTGTACTTCGTTCTTGGCATGGCATTGGTTTGTGTCCTTGTTGTGTGGGAGTGGTTAAAGAGATTGTGGGATCGGCTTGATGCGTGGTGGGCTGGTTCGCATGCGTCGTCTCGTCGAGCCCGTCGTTTGAGGCGTATGCAGAGAGCTGTTGAGGATGAGCTTGCTGCCCAACTGCAGGGCATGAGTCTTGAGGACGTGTCTTCCAGACCACCAGCAGGTGAGTCCACAGCTCACAACGAGAGGGCACCTGTGCCTTCGCAGTCCTCCCACGAGTTGCCTGCTGCACCACGGCCCAAGGCCACACAGTCTCGTCGCCGCCCTGCAGTGCGTGAGCAGTCTACTCAAACGGATCGTGAGCCTGCTTTCCAACCAGTCACAGGAGTCCCACCAGATCCGATGCCTGCCAGGATCGAAATCCGCACGCAGTATGAACTTCCCCAAGGTCCCTTTTACTTCACTGCGCACGGGGATTGTGTTCATCTAGATTCTAATTGTTGGGGTTTAAGGCGTAATACACCCTTAACTACCCGCAACTTGTGCCGTGTTTGCAGAGACCGCCACCGCACAGGTCTCTAAAGGCAAGCCAAGGTTCAAGGCTAGAGGTCCCAGGAACGGGCATGCTGTAAATAGTGCAGCGTGTGCTAGTTGCCTGTCGGCTCTAGCAAGGAGGAGTGTTGAAATGCTTCTCACTGCATGCCCAGGTATCAGGTTAGACAGGTGTGTAGTCTGCTTGAAGGGATTGCCGGCACTTGTATAGTTTCCTTCAGGTAGGCTTGTACATGTGTGTTTCCTGTATCCTTTGGCTTAGGGGAAGGCTGCGTAGGAAAGCCTCTTGAGCCATGTGTACTGTAACCAACAACTTGTAAAGCTGTACTGGTCGTTTGTTGTTTGTCGGTTCCCTTGTTGCTTCGTTGAGATCGTGAGTCGCCTCTGCGCCCAGCCATAGAAAACATTCTGCGTGAGCTTCGCTGCAGGGTATGGCCACCCAGGGTGCACACCTTCAACAGTACCCCTTAAAGATCCCTTTATAGTAGAAGCCCAAAAGTTGGAAACCCCATAGCCTCAATCCTTAAGAGTAATGTATAGGGAATCCCAGCACTATTTGGCCTTAATCCGGTTTCCAACTTTATGGGGTTTACTGTAAAGGAACCCCCAAACCCTATATAGATCCCTGAAAGGGTCCCTTATAGATCTCTTTAAGGAACCCCTATAGGGATCCCAAAAAGGGTCCCTTATAGATCCCTTTAAGGAACCCCAAGGACCTCTGAAAAAGGCAGCCCGAATCCTTAAGGACCATCGAGGCAGAAGCCCTAGGCACCCATGCTATCCATCCTTCGTACCCAGAGGTTTTAGGGTTTTAGGGTTTAGGTTTTTAGGGTTTAGGGTTTAGGGTTTTAGGGTTTAGGGTTATTACAAGGGTACCTAGACCCCCCAAAGTAGGTAAAATAATGGCCCAAATCCTAAAAACAAGGCGATTATTCTACATACTTTTGGGGTTCAGGTAGTTTCGGTCGGCCTTAAAAACCCGACCCCTGAACCTCCGAATTGTAAGAATTCTCGGGAAAAAAGATGTCCTAAAAACCAACCCATGAACTCAAAAATTGTAGGAATTCCCGGAAAAAGGTCGCCATCAAAGAGGCGCTCTCTTTGGAGGTGACTGCCTCCAAGGCTCCGCACAGTGTTTTGTGGTCTACCTATAGTCTCCATTGTAGTCCTTTTTTTTGGTTGACCAGTTTTATGGTTAGGACCCTATAATAGAGATTTTGGTTAACCAAAAAAGGAACTACAATGGAGACTATAGGTAGGGTTTCTCTTTAAGATTTGCTGCTCTGGTCTTGGTCATGCATCTATAATCTCCATTTTTGTCCGTTTTGAACGGTTACCTCATGAGATCCTGCATACAAACGTATATAGTTAAGCCAGATGAAAGGAACTACAATCGAGACTAGAGGTGGAGGTTTCCGAAACTATAGGGGCACCTCATATGGGGGTCCTTATAATAAGGATCCTACTTTTGTGGTATTATATTAGGGTCCCCTATTTTCGGAAACCCCCAGGTAGAGCTTTGCAGCGCAGGAGCTTCCGCTGCTTTATCCCTGAGCCTGAGCATCGCATGTTCTCAAAGCTTTCGGGAGCCCACGGTGCTGAGGTCCGCTTCCCGGGGCAGCCATGGGCGTGCCGGGCCTGTCAGAGTGGCTGAAGGTGCTCAGCCTTGAAGATCGCAGCTGCGAGGTGATCGCATGGTGTGAGGAACAGGGTGCTGCTACCTTGACTGAAGTCGCAGAGAATCGGGAGGAGTTAGCGCATGTCTTGGGGGACATCCCTGAGCTAAAGGAAGGACGAGCTTTGACACTGGCCGAGCTTGTCTCACAGCGTATCTACAGTCATGATCTGGAGGAGATCCTCATGGCACTCATCTCTGTCTTGGACGAGGACCAGCTGAAGCACGTGGAGCTCTCGCTGAAACCGGGGCTTTCATCTCTTCTTGCCCGCTTGGCTCTCCGATGCCGACAGGTTCCACCCGCCTCCTGTTCTCCTGAGCCACAAGGCAGTGCTGCCAGTGGATGCCTCGGAGATTCGAGTGCTCCACGTGGGATTGCCCTCACTGCCGAGACGGCATCGCAGCTTAGTCACGGAGACCAAGTTGTTCTGCATGTGCTCGCTGGCCGCTGGCAGGGTTGGCACGTCTGCGAAGTCCTGGAGGTGAGGACGCAATCCTTCTACCTGCGCCACGTGGAGGATGGCTTCGAAGAAAACATTCCCTGGGCCCTTCTGGGTGGTGGCTCCTACCACATCGAGCTTCTGGGCAAAGACAGCCATGTGTCTGAGCCCAGCTACTTCACCAAGACCTCGCAAGTGGAGGTCACTGCGGCGCCCTACATCAGCAGGCGTGACGCGCGGCTCCTGCGCCTGGCAGAGCGCGGCGTCGGCTCGCAGCGGGGCGCGCGAGGCGCTGATGACCTCTGCGAGTCTTGCGGCCGATCCGCCTGGCGCGGCCAACGCAGCCGCGAGGACGGAGCGCTGTACTGTGACGAGTGCTGGGCGGAGTGGCCGGACAGTTAAAAAGGTTAGAGGCTTCAGCCATACCTTCGGGGACATAAAGACAGTCGGCGATCTTTCTGATACTCACACAAGAAAGCTGGCATTCCTAGCTCGTTAATGTAAATTCTTTGGACAACCATGTGTCATCACGTATCTGCTGCTATAGCTTTAACCCTGTGTAGATGTGCCGTAACTAATATGGATCAATCACGGGGTCACAGGCCCCAGCACCAGCAGGCCGACCCCGGGCTGTCCATCCCGAGATCCTTTCAGAACTCCCGAAGCACTTGGCAGTTCATGTGTCGTTATATGCAGGGCTGTAAGTCCAAAGAAGGGTTAGAACAAAAAGCTGTCCTACCTAAAACCACACTTATAAGTCCCTAAACCCTAAACCCTAAACCATAAGCATCCATGAACCTCCGAGCGGGGTTTGGGGCTCTCGGTGCGAGGAGCGTGAAACTCACTGCATGCAGATGCTTCAGCCTTCAGCCACCGAACCCTGTATATAGCAACCTTTGCTACAGCTCCCACGCCGATCCTGGAACACTGTGCCTAACTTCAACCCTCAGACACCACATCCAGAAACTCCAATATTAACCATAGGCCCCATTGTGGTTCATATATAGAATCCTAGAAGGTAATCCCAAAAAGGAACTACTATGGGGCCTATGGGCATAATTTATTAAAGCCCTGATCCCGGAAAGACCAGGATTCGACAACCCGCGCTCAACCGAGCCTAAACCCTAAACTTCCCAGGCCGTAAATTAGCCCATGCACAGACTCTAAACCCTGAACCCCGCTTATATCCCACCCTAAACTCCCTTTGCTTCAGGCGAATTCGGAGACCTGCGTCTGCGCCAAGCCGGCGACCAAGGCTAGACAAAGGGTTCCAGAATGCCTTTTCTCGGGGTTGTTTCAGGGGCTGTGAGGTTCCTTGATAAGGGCTCCTACACCCAAAGGCTCCATGTACCTTTATAGTAGATACTTAAGCCGTAAAGGGGTCCCTAAAAAGGTACGTTAAGGCCTAAGTATATACTATATGGGTACATGGAGCCTTAGGGATAAAGGGGCTTTATAAGGGTCCCTAAAATTTCCTTTAATTAAACGCTTCTTTGAGGCTATAAGGCTCCTGAGCTTGAGGCTTTCCAGAAGGGGTATTACAGGGTTCCATTCCCAAAGGCTCCATGTACCCATATAGTAGGTACTTAGGCCTGAAAGTAGCCATATAGGGACCCCTTTAAGGCCTAAGTACCTACTATATGGGTACATGGAGCCTTAGGGATTAGGTGATCCAATTTCTTCACGATTGGGGATTTTTGCAGTGGATTGCGCGAAAGAGCAGGCTTGTTATCAAGCCTCTGTGGTGACTTGGTGCAGGATGCTCGTGCGTGTGAAGCTCAGGACCATTCATGTATGTATGCTTGCATGCATGCATGTATGCATGTACGTCTGCATGTATGTATGTATGCCTGTGTGTGTACATGTATGTATGTGTGCGTGTATATATATATATATATGTATGTATATGTATGTGTGTGTACATATATATATATATATACAGGTGTATTACGTACACAAATACATTCCGTAAACAGGGTCCGCGAAAGTCCCGCTAAAGTAGCCGTGAACGGAAAACACTTGGGAGCACCACAGTTCACACATCTGGCCGTTTCCGATACAACCGCCACATAATTACATGTGTATACAGACACCTACATATATATATATATATATAGATGCCGACCTAAACTGAAAGGAAGAAAGATAGGTAGAATTACATAAGTACAGCAGCTAACGCACCCTTGTTTCCTTTCAGGTGGTGACTTCTCTGGACTCGGGTCGATCCCCAATGGAGTAGGCCAACACTCTGCAACGAAGTTTGACCCTTGAAGGGACCTTAGTTGTTCTTCAGTTGACTCTGCTAGCCTTGAAGGTCCATGTGCCCATATAGTCATATAACTTATTCTGTGGCCTTAAATATATAAACCTCAAACCTTATAATCCCTAATTAATATAGTCCCTATAGATACTATACTGTGGCCTTAAAAGTATATAAACCGTTACAAACCCTATAATCCCTATAATATATATATATATATATATATATATATATACATATATATAGAGGTACGTCAGGCCCGAAATCCGACATCCAAGCAGGAGCGAGTGCTGGAGCTGCTCCGAGTGCAGCTTCGAGAGTTCAGCAAGGAGCGCACTTTGTTGGAGTTTGGCATTAAGGGTCCATGCATGCGTATGTGTATATATATATATATATATATATTGTGTCCGTATGTATGTATGTATGTAAGTATATATTTATATAATATACATATATTCAATAACTAGATATACCCGCGGTTACACACAAAGACCTATGGCACCCCATGGTAAGACGCGATGAAGGCTAATTACATCCTTCGAAACCCTTTTAATGTCTTCAGGACTGACGGCTGTAAGGTGGGAACCTGTGTTCGTTCTGGTATGCTAGGGGCTGCAGTGATCCTAGGTTACAATCGACTTAGGGTGTGCATTTTTGCATCTATACGGGTGTAGAGTTCAGGGTCCAGCGTGTAAGATGGCGTATGGTTCGGCTTCGACTTAAAAAAGTTTATATACGTGGGCATATGAGGATCTACCCACGCCAGTAGCCACACAAGCACATGCGCGAAGAGGCTTTGGGATGAATTTGGGGATTTTGAGGAGTGTATATGGCGGCTGCTGACTATTGGCGAGTATAGAAGTTGAGTTTTCTTATGGGGATTCTAGTCCTGACAGCCTTATATCGCATATGCTGAACACCCAAAGGCTCCATGTACCTTTATAGTAGATACTTAAGCTTTAAAGGGGTCCCTATGTAGGTACTTTAAGGGCCAAGTATATACTATATGGGTACATGGAGCCTTGGGGACAGATAGATGTTACCACATACGCACAGAGAGATGATCAGCCCCTAGGCTGCAGCGTGCTTCGTTGCCCTGCGACAGGCAATCTTTCAGCAGAAGCTCAACGATCTGAAGCAGAGTTACGACACTGCATCAGGACAGTAGGGCAGTTGCGGTGTTAGGTAATTGCATGCGCACGTCTTTTGATGTCCTATTCTTGAGGTCAAGCACAGTTGGGATGAACCCACAAGTGGGAGTATTTGGGTTTGGGAGCTTGTGAAGTGAGTCGTAATCGATACCTGAAGGATGCCCAGGCCTTCTTTCTTAGGCGGTTTACATTTGCAGGGCATTTGTGGCTTCAGGGACTATCCCTGGCCATAAATCCTCTTATCGGGTTTCAACCCCACCATCCGACAGCGTGCAGCAGCTGACCACAACCTCAAACCTATACATCTTACACCCTAAACTCCGGACATCCAAAACTGGAACTAGGCTAATTAGAACCCACTCTGCAGCCTTGACTTACAACAGTTCATTGTAAGAACCTTTGACTCTGTTATATTGATGTCCGAAGATCAGCAGTAAGAACGGCAATGATCATATCCCTGTAGAGCTTGCATCTAGTTTTTCTATACTCTATCACCGGATCCCCCTCCTGTCCACAGCGCTTACACAACATTGCAAAACTCCTCATAAACAACCGCATAAGACCGCGATGCCACTCACCAAGCAGACCTTCGCAGGCCTTGTGTGATCCTCCATAAAAGACATCAGTGGACGCCTTCCGAAGCCCCTATATGGAAACCTGCACCGCTCTTTGATTTGGTAAAACCTTTTAGTGGCTAGGGCGTGTCGCCGTAGTCAGTCCCAAATCAAGTTCTGTGAAACACGTCGTGCTAGAATGCAGCTCACGCCCAGCTACATAGGAGATTAGACCCCAGGACTCACTGGACCCAGGACCCCAAGATCCCTAAGGCTCCATGTAGCCATATAGTATACACTTAGGCCTTAAAGTACTTACATAGGAACCCCTTTAAGGCCTAAGTATATACTATAGGGGTACATGGAGCCTTAGGGGATCCTAGGGTGAGTGCCATGGTTGTGAAGGGCAGAAGTTGCTCAGATGATGGTCGAGGTGAGGGAGTGGCATCATTGATCCAGATTCACGGTTTAAGGTTTAGGGTTCCCTAAGGCTCCATGTACCCATATAGTAGGCACTTTGGCCTTAAAGGGGTCCATATATGGCTACCTTAAGGGCAAAGTACCTATTATATGGGTACATGGAGCCTTTAGGGTTTAGGGTCTGGGCTCTTGGCGCGCGGCGGGACGGCCACAGAGCCTGCGCGGGCAGAGGGGTCAGGTGAACAGGCTCAGGCCAGCGCGAGGTTCTGGCAACACGGTCGGACTTGCAGAACGCCACTGAGGAGGTGTTGGCATTGGTCATGGGCGAGCCTTCGCAGCCAAGCATTCTCCGCATCGATGCAGATGCTGCTCATGCCCACTGAACGTTACCCTTATGATAAGGACCAGGGTGATCATGAATAAGAGTAATCATGAACACATTCCATCAGCATCCATGCGGCAGAGCCTAGAACAAAACATTCAAGTCGCCCTTGTTTTGCCAGAGCCCTGTGGTGTATCAGGCACTTTGTAGAGCCTGCAAGGCGCTTGCCTTGTTATTGTCCTACTTGGAGGATCATGGGACTTAGTAAGTAAGGTCATAAGTACCTTAATCGGGGTTATAAGTAATTATAAATATAGTTACCGGAACAGTGACATTAGTTACTAAGTCCCATGATCCTTTAAGTATTCTGCTCCTTAACCCCCCAAAGGAGGTACAACAATGGCCAATATCTATGAAAGGCTATTATTCTGCGTACTTTAGGGGTCCAGGTAATCCCTAAACCCTGAGCCCATCAAGCCATAATTATTACGGCGGCTATATCGCAGAGCGCTTTTCAAACCCATATGAAAGGAACACCGTAAGGCCCTATCCTTTACCCGACCCTTTTATATATAGCCGTACAAAACTGTACAAGATCACGTAAACTCCCGTAGTACATGAACCCGTCTAGTAACCTTATAATGTCACACATGGTCCCTTAAAAACTTCAAATTAAGCCCTATAAACCCTAAACCAGACACCTCCATCCCCGAAACTCTAAATTCAGACCTAAATCCTAAAGCAGTCACCTCCATTTGTTGTTCAAGTCCATTCCATGTGCTTAAACCCTTCACCCTAAATCAAGCCCTGAATCCTAAACCGGTCACCTCTAGTGTTTGTTGTTCAAGTCTGTTCAAGTCCCCTAAGCCCGAAACCCTAAATTAAACCCTACCTTAGCCCCGAAGAACCTACATTTGTAAGGACTTCTACAAAGAAATCACAATAAGGAACCCTAAAAAGGTAGAAGTCATAATAAGGAACCCGAAAAAAAAGGTATGTTATTCAGCGTTAAAGTAAACCCTGAATGAAGCCCCGGATCTCCTCCTTCCATGTTCTGGTCGGAAGGCCTTTTGAAGGAACCCTAAACCCTAAACTCTATACTTTGTCATAGTTGGGTAACATTTTACATTTTTTTGATACTTAAACCCAATAAGGAACAAGAATGTACATTTTTAATCCTATACCGACAATGAAATAGTATAGATCCCTATAGATCCTTTCACAGGAAGCCTATAGATACGGTTGATGATATAAATCCTGCATTACCTGAAGGACCCTAGACTATGGGAATTATGGTATGTTCCTTATTATGGGTAATGCAGGATTTATATCATCAACAGTACCCTAAGGCCCCATAGTAGTTCCTTTTCGTGGCTAGAATCCTATAAGGTAATCCCAAAAAGGAACGATTATGGGGCCTTAGGGTAGCATCCTATCATCTGGGGTCTGCTCGCTACTTATATCATCAACAGTACCTCCATGTTCCTAAACCCTAAACCCTAAAACCCTAAACCCTAAACCCCGTTCTGGTCTGAAAGGCCGGCTCTGGAAGAAGAACTTCATAGACCCGGAGCTACCTGTGGAGGATCCTGATGGCTACTACCACCTCCCAGGCGGATAGACTATGGCTCTATGGTTCTAGGGTTTAGGGTTTAGGGTTTGATGGCTACTACCACCACCCAGGCGGATGGAATATGGCTTTTTAAGGGTTTAGGGATTAGGGATTTAGAGTTTAGGGTTTGCTGGCTACAACCACCTTGCAGGCAAATGGAACATGGCTTTGTAAGGGTTTCGGGTTTAGGAATTAGGGATTTAGAGTTTAGGATTTGCTGGCTACTACCACCTCCCCGGCGGATGGAATATGGCTCTTAAGGGTTTAGAGTTTAGGAATTAGGGATTTAGAGTTTAGGGTTTGACGGCTACTACCACTTGCCAGGCGGATGGAATATGGCTTTAGGGATTTAGACTATATATGGTTCTAGGGTTTAGGGTTTGATGGTTACTACCACCTCCCAGGCAGTGTCGGGATCTGGGGATTACGGTTTATAGGGTTTGGACTACTTTAGGGGCCTAGTTAATTACCTGTGCTTTTTTGGGGGGTCCTGGTCGTAATTGGAGTATAGTGGGTCCCAAAACGCAATTAAAATGATTAAGGCCCCTACGCTATCTATGGTTGTTGAAATTGTGGCTCTTAGGGCCTGGGGTTGAAGAGTTTGGGGATTTAGGGATTTTTGGGGTTTGCTGTGTGGGTGGTGTTTATGTTTTGTTTTCCATTTTTGGCTTTCTCAGTTGAACTCCAAGGGTAAAAGGAGGGACCCATAGGTATATACCCTTAATATAGCTGTCATATACCCATTATATAGCCCATTATAGGGTAGGCGTCTCCATTAAGGGTCCCTCCTTTTCCCCTGTCATTTTCCTAAGGCTCCATGTACCCATATAGTATATACTTAGGCCTTAAAGTACCTATATAGGGACCCCTTGAAGGCTTAAGTATCTACTATAAAGGTACATGGAGCCTTTGGGTTAGTCGAAGTCTGCAGAGTTGTGGTGTAGCGCGGTTGAGGACTTGAAGTTGCTTCGGGCTTCGGGCCTTTCCCTAAGGGTCCAAAGGACCCAATAATCAAGTACTTGGGTTTAGGATAGTAGATATGTAGGTTATGTTTTGGGAGAGTATATGATTATTGGGTACTTGGACCCTCAGGGTTTCTTTTGGACCGCGAGACACCAGAAACCGGAATCCTGGAGCTGACATGCGCAGCCCCAAAGTCAGCCCACAGCTTTAGGGCTGGGGCTTTAGGGGTGTAGGGGCTTCGGGGTTAGGGCTTATAGGGTTTATGCTTGTTATACATACCTGCCGGGGAGCCGTCGATGGCAAACAAAACCGTTAAGCCACAGCAGAAGCCGTGTGCTGTGCATGCGAGCATGCCGATATCATTCACAGAAATGTTTATACAGCAGTGTATACATGTACACGCATGCATGCAAGCACATGAATACACATATGCACATACATGCATTGAGCTCACTTGATCATTAACAATTGTGCTTCGCTGCGACATGTATGTGTGAGAGCACGTATGCCTTTATGTATGTATATGTGCATACACATGTTCGAGTATACGCATGTCCTAGAATCCGGCAAGAGCACCCGGGAGCCATCCCTGAACACAGGAAGAGCCGAACTTGCTCTGCGCGTGCAGAAGAGGAGCACGCCATGGTTTCGATTTGTGTTACCATAAGGGTCCATGTACCCAAAAAGTATATACTTAGGCCCCAAAGTACCTATATAGGGACTGCTTTCAGGCGAAAGTATCTACTATTTGGGTACATGAACCCTTAGGGTTAATGTAGTAGAGAGTTGAGTGAGCAGGATTCATGGCGCCTCGGGTTCAGGGCTTACAATTATGACATAGGGAGGCTTTTCAGAGTTTGCTCCAAGGGTAAAAGGAGGGACCCTTAATAAGGATCCTAGCTATGTACTATGTACCCTTAATATAGCTGTTATATACCCATTATATAGCCCATTATAGGGTAGGGGTCCCCATGAAGGGTCCCTCCATTTCCCCCTTTGACTTGCGGTTCCGGACTTACCGCAAAGCTGGGAGGCCCAAGCTCTTCTGCTGGGATCTCTCGCGCTGCAAACCTTTTGCTCAGGTTTGGAGGTCTTGGGTTTCAGACCTCCGCACGGTTTAGGGTTTAGGGTTTTTAGGGTTTAGGGTTTAGGGTTTAGGGATTAGGGTTTAGGGTTTAGGGTTTAGGGTTTAGCGAAAACCAGGAGAGCTCGCGTTACATTCCCCAGAATCATGAGCTTCCGTTTCCAAGGCGACCCTAAGGCCCCAAAGTAGTTCCTTTTGGGGGTTCATATATAGAGTCCTATAAGGTAATTCCAAAAAGGAACTACTTTGGGACCTCTGGGTAAGTGCTGGTTTCCCTTCTCCGCTGCGGGACTCAAAGTCTCTGAACCCAGGGACTTGTGCCCTCGAACCTCCGACGTCTCCCCAAAGTAGCCGAAAAGACCTACCTTCTAAGGAACTCTATATACAGATATATATATATATAAACCATAATAAGGAACGCTGAAAAGGTAAAGGAACTATATTTTTAGAAACCAGAATAAGGAACCCTAAAAAGGTAGGTCTTTTCGGTTACAGGTAAACCCTCAACCCGAGAGCTCAAGGCAAAACCCTGAAGAGTCTGAATTCCTCAACACCCCGCCGGAACGATGAAATTTCATCTTGGGGCTGAAGTGAAGCATGTCCCCGTAAAAGCCTAATGCATAGTTTAGGGTTTCCTTATTATGGTTACAGTGCAATAAACACTAATGCGTTGGTTCCTTATAGTGATATTTTGTGTAGTAACACCCCCAAACCCTATTATTGCGGGGGTTCCTTATCATGTTTTTTGTGTAATATATTCCGCAAAACCCTCTTCTGATTCTGAAGGCGCCTGTGTTTGACCCCCAATCCTCAAGCGTTTGAGTCGACCTGCTCGAGGATATTACCTCGTTTCGGCTTCGAAGGCACCAAGGATGGGGTCAGGGCCCTGTACTAAATCGCAAACTTGCAGCCCCCTCAGCAAGCCTTTTGAAGGGTTTGAAGGTGTGTACCCTAAGGCCCCATACTGTTGATGATATAAATCCTGCATTACCCATAATAGAGAATATACCATAAATCCCATTGCCGTAGTCTAGGGTCACTAAAGTAATGCAGGATTTATATCATCAACCGTAGTAGTTCCTTTTTGTGGTTCATATTTAGAATCCTATAAGATCCTATAAGATAATCCCCAAAAGGAACTACTTTGGGGCCTATGGGTAAGGCTGCAGGGCTGATGATTCGGGGGATGTGGAATTTGAAGAGTCGGCTACCCATAGGCCACAAAGTAGTTCCTTTTTGGGATCACCTTGGAGGATTCTAAATATGAACCACAAAAAGGAGCCACTATGGGGCCTTAGGGTAGAGTGAAGGTTTAGGGCTTGAGATGTGAGGGATTTCGGGATTTGGGGGGGTTGTTTGCGACGGTGTTGCCTAGAGGCCATCGAGTTTTCGAGATAAAGTTAAGGTATGCTTGCCTGGACCCTAAGGAACCTGCCTTTTTAGGGTTCCCTAATATGATGTTTTATATAAGTCCTTAAAAAGGTAGGTTACTTGGGGTTAAGGTGAACCAATAAGCAGGTACGTCTTGTTGAAAGCTGTTTGGAAGGAATCTCGCACTCGTTGATAGTCGGACGGTGCACACAAGTTTACACAGTGGGTCAAGTGCACGGATGAAGACTGAACGTAGAAACGACGGTGCCAGCCTTTGGGTGGGGGGTACTGGGTTGCACTGGCGGGATAAGCCATGATCCCTAATCCCCTCAACCTTAAACCCTCAACCCTAAACTTCTAATCCCGAAACCCTAAACCATCAACCAGGCTGGTTCAAAGCAGCAGGGTGGCGGAAACTGACCGATTCCAAGAACTCGTCTCCGGTACAGTTTCGAGTTCTTGGAGCTCTGACGACATGCTGACATTACTCGTACCTAAACCCCTAAACCCCAAACAGGCCCAGGGTTTCTGGACTCAGTTGTTTTGGGGGGTCCTTCGTCTGGATCCCAGATTCCTACCTTGACGTGTTGGAGTGGGATCTTCTGAATCCTAGCATAAACTCTTTAGCTCTTAGTTCCGGATGCCCTAAGCCCTAAACCAAAGCCTAAGTCCATGTGCCCAAACAGTATATGCTTTGGCCACAATGTACCTATATGGGGACTACCCTAAGACCAAAGTATATACTATTTTGGTACATAAATCCTGAAACGCTAAACCCTTATAGAGCCTTTACAGTCACCCTTATAGTACCCCTTAAAGGAACGGAACCCTTAAAGGGTGCCTGTTTGGGTACATGGACCCTCAGGGGAAAGGCTCTTTGAGATGCTCCGCTCTCACCTTTAGCCTCCAAGCCGCCCTAAACCCTAAACCCTAAACCCTAAACCCTAAACCCTAAACCCTAAACCCTAAACCCTAAACCCTAAACCCTAAGCAGCCGAAGCCGGGAGGGGTCTTAGGAGTTTAGGGGCTGACGCTCTCTAAGGTTTGGGGTCTCTGGTGCTTTCAGGGTCTCGCTTGCTTGGTTAGGGTGCCTCTGTTGCTTATAGTTTCCCAAAAAGACACTCTCCATGGGAAGTAGAGAGTACAGTATGGCTTGGGCAGGAATTCCGTGTTGAGTTGGAGAGACCATGCAGAGCTGCCTCCTGTGTTACAGATTTGCTGTGCGCACGACTGAGGTCAAGGATATGATTTGCCATGGCCTCAACTCCTTGCACTTTTCGCACCAAGCATTGTGGGATACAATCCCAAAGGGTCCTAGGTACTATTATGGGGGATACTTCCCCAAATCATAATAGTAATTCCCATTATAGAAACCCTACTTTCTCCCATGTAGGTACATTGGACCCTTTGGGAATGCATTCAAGGTTGAGGGTTTTGGTGTCTGGGGCCGGAACTCGTTCCACCCATAGGCCCCAGAGTAGTTCGTTTTTGGGATTACCTTAGAGGATTCTAAATATGAACCACAAAAAGGAACTACTATGGGGCCTTAGGGTAAGGATAAACGGATTGGTTTTCACAGTCGTAACGTGAAAAAGGCTCCCAGTACTCGATGAGATGTTTCGGTAGCACGGTTTGCACAGCTTGGTGTCTAGAACCTAGAGGTTATACTAGTCCACATACGCAATACCTGCTGTGGGCTGTGTGCTGTGTGCTGTTGCTGACGCGCTAGCTCAGACTCTCCTCTCAGGTCATTGTGCAAGCTATCTTGAAGAGTCGGACGTTGCGCACCTCTTCGATAGCCTGAACATGAAGCCAGACCCTGAGAATGCCTGAGCACTCTGCATATTCAATATAATGTTTGGTAGTGCAGGAATTTATGCTCATAAATTTCCGGAGTGCAGACACCAGAACAACTACTCTTTCCTGCACTCGTTGTTCTAGCGGCATTTGCGGCGATACTCGTTTGCTCAGCTGAAGTTGAATTGGCTTGTAATTTCGTGTTTGGGAAGACTGGACCTTTCCTTCAGACTTCTGGAATATCGGGATGAGTGATGGCAGGACAAGCTGGTCTTAGGGTGCTCTTATCCGCTAGCTCAAGGCAGTTGCGGGTTCTATGTGAGGGCGTGGGGAATACGGATTGCGGGTTTAGTTGGGGGTTTAGAGTTTCAGGCTTTGAAATATGACCCCATATCAAAGGTCTTGGTGGCCTTCAGAATACATCAGGCCCTGTGGGGTTCCGAGAAGGCAGGTTTATATTGGGGGGGGGGGGTGCCTGAATGAGTAAGGGTTCCTGTTACCACTGCTATCCGCTCTCCCTTATTTGGGGTTCCTCTACTTATACCTCAGAATAATGGACTAATGTCGCCCCCCACATTCTTCAACAGCTGTTGAGGCCCCGATAGTACCCGCAACACCAGTCCCAAATGACCGAAATGACCGGAACCTCATGGGGGATCGTAATCGTAAGTCTGGCGTATCTCGTCATCGTATGTCTGGCGTATCTCGTCACCTTTTCACCCTAGGAACCTCGAAGTACAATAATGAGAAGGTTTTAGGTGTGCTGTACAGAGGGGCAGAGGGGGGTGAGAACGCTCTGATCCGAAGACTTTCCCGAAACCCGGATCCTCAAAAACTGGCCAATTCTCAGTCCAAAGCCCTACCTTAAACTACTAAAACCTACCTGTTTTTGTAGGTTCTTATTATAAACCCTAATATTGTACTTATATGGACCCAAAAAAGAAAGTAGGTCTTGGTAGGTTCAGGTTGCGCTCTTGAGTCATGTTGCTGTCACCCCTACTGGTTATCCTGGGCATTAAACTCTGCTTCACCCCCCACCAGGGCCTGTCTGGGAAAGCCTAAACCCTAAGGCTCCATGTGCCCATATAGTATATGCTTAGGCCTTAAAGTACCTATATCGGGGCCCCTTTACGGCTGAAGTATCTACTACAAAGGTACATGGAGCCTTTTGGAAACATGTCCCAATACAGCCCCAGAAAGGACAGAGAAAGCATACAAGGGATGGGCGATGGCGGGGGTGGGTTGCTGCTGACACGGCTCCCCGTACCCTAAGGCTCCATGCACCCCTATAGTTTTTACTTAGGCCTTAAAGGGGTTCCTATGTAGGTACTTTAAGGCCTAAGTGTATACTATATGGCTACATGGAGCCTTAGGGGTAGTGGTGTTGATAAGCCAGTGTCCGGTTTAAGTTCCTGTTGGCAAAGAAACCATAATGTACTGTCAAACAGTGCTTAAGGCCCCCACAATTGTGACAACCCCGAAGACGCTGTGCGAGGTTGGGTATGTCTCCTGATGCCTGTCGGCGTTTCAGAAAGCTGGCGTCGCAACTTCCAAGCTGATCTTGCACCCGGCAAAACCGTGTTTTTTCCGGTCTAAGCTATCTGGAGCTCTGAACCGTAGCTCAGACCCCAAACCCTTATAAACACTGCAGCCGATAACAAAACTTGCGCCATGTCTTTGGGGTGCAAAATTTCGGGGTGACATGCTTGCTGGATTATGTAAGCTTTTCGGTCTCCTCCTGAATCCCGAATAAACCCCCAAACCGTAAGCTTCGTGGGTTTGCTCTTTATGAGTATCGCGTAAATTTGCGGGCTTCAAATTTCGGGTTCGAGGATATGATTTTTAAGCTTCAGGGTTTATAGGGGTTTACCGCTACGGTTTAAGGGGTTTACAGGTTTAGGGCTTTACGGTTTAGGGGTTTTGTGGTTTAAGGTCTTCTGGTTTAGGGATTTAGGTTAAGGAGTTTGAGGTTGAGTGAGGTTGTCCCGGGCGCGAACGGCATGTGGAAGTCTGGACGTTTGTTTTCCAACCGTTTCCGATGCCGTATTAACAGGCTTGAATCGTGTGTTGGCTGCACGAAGGGGCCCAGCCAGCTGAGCTGTGCCGATCGTGCAACAGGGCACACCATAGCGTCACCGATCCCCTTTGACGTAGATCCGTGTATCAAGTCAGGCTGCGGCACTGAGCTCATGCAGAGACATCATCTCAGCACCTCCTGCAAGGCTTTGCATGGATCTCAATCTGCAAACGAGATTACTATTGTCAGCATCGATTTTCTTACTTGCATCCCCATTACATATATATATATATAATGGCATATGTATCATCTACGTACCTACCACTTGACCTATGCACAAAAAGCCTGTGCTAAAACACACGGCACCGTGTCATTCAGTGTTGTGTTTCGTATTTTTTCCGGCCGGCGTGTTGTTGCACGCCTTCTTCTACTATCGCAACGAGGACATTCGATGATACGAGTCAGGTTGTGATACATACATATGTATATCTCTCTCTCTCTCTCTCTCTCTCTCTCTCTCTCTCTCTCTTACATATATATGTGTGTATGTATGTATATGTATATATATATATATATATATATTATGCGTGTGTGTGTATATATATATATAGAAAATATATTTGGTGAAGCTTTTAGATAAGGGGAGGGCGGCCAAGCGCCCCGGAGGCGCAGAGGTAGTGTGAAAGTCTTGTTTGAATCGTATATCTATAAAGCTAACCTCCACCTCTCCACGCCTCTACACCCCTCCACCCTCCTACACCTCCACCCCCTCCCCATCCTCCCCCTCCCCACCCTCCAGCCCTCCACCCTCCCCTCCCCCTCTTCCACCCCCCCCTTCTCCACCCGCCTGATATCAATGGGCCCGGAAGGCAACGGAGGTAGTACAAGTTGTGTGTTTCGGTATTATAGAATCCGCATATCAAAGTATAGTCACCATATATACACATACATGCATGGCTATATAACTAACTTACTAATCATGTATATTATGCAGTCTGTACATCCAGAGATTTCGACCAGTCTTTGTGTTTACGCATTATTTCTTGGGCTTTCTTCTCTGTTGCCATCCCATCGTGTCCTACAGGACGTAAGTTTCAGAGGAAACGGTGCCCCAGTGAAGAGGCTCCATACTAACTAGGCTTCGTAACTCAATCACAGCATACAAGAAACCCACCCCTAAGTCCTAAACCCCTCAACTCGAGACTACTAAACCCCTGCCATGTGACCAAATCTCACCTCTGAGCTCAGCCTCCTGCAGCTTCGAGCCGTGCAAGGCACGCCCGGATGCATCATCCTTCGGCCCTTTGCAGACGCGAAGCATCGCATCTCAGTGTGATTACGAGTTGTATATATATATATATATGCATATACACACACATATCTTTATAGAGCAAAAATACCAACAAAGTTGACCTAACTGCGCTATCAATATTGATAAGAAGAAGGATAGTAATACTAACAATCTTAACAGTACGAAATGACAACACGACTGTTGCTAACACTACTGCTAATGCCAATACTAAGGACAGCAATGCCATCATCATTATCATTACCATCGTCATCACCATCATGATAAACCCGTCATCACCACAGTATCCTTACCGCTGACAACAGCCATGCTAATAATAGCAGTAACAGCAGCAGGAACAAAAATAGCAACAATCCTTATGTGCACATGGTTCTAAGCAATAGCAAGATACTTGTTGTTACTAGAATTGGTGTAACTGCCATTATTCTTGTTGTTCTTAATATACCGACAGGAATGTTGACATCAATAGCTACAGTATGAACCATAACTACAATAAGGTTTCAAAAGGATATTAGTATCTTTGTAGTAAGAAAAAGCAACAGCAGCAACAACACTAGATTTCATAATCATCAGAAAATTGGTGATATGTCGGCAAACATATCTCAGCACCAAAAGCCACTGTTTGAAACCATGTTTTCCCTGCCTAGTCTCGTTACTGATGTGCGTTTAAGGCTTACGCTTTAGGGCGATGCTCAAACCTAAACCAAAGCAGGTCCAGTCTGTAGAGGTGCCCTACAGCACAGTCATCGCGAGAGCTGAGCCAGCATGGAATGGCGAGCAAGGGCTAAGCAAGGCTGGTGCATTGCACGGTGTCTGCGCCGATCCTGAATGGTACCTGGGCATGTCCACGCTATCCCTGGGAGTTCCTGCTGTGTACAGGGTTTTCGGTTCAGCCCGAAATTCGCACCCCAAAGCCTACGGCAGAAAGCCTCAGCAACGCGAAAGCGTCTGCGGGGGCCTGAAACCTACGAGCACTGCACCCGCAAATCCCTGAGGTCCAAACCCTGTGGGCTGCGAGTCTTCGATTTGTTTCACAACGGCCTAGGGTTTCGGATTTACGTAGGGTTGTTAAGTACTAGCTTGGCACGAGGACGGTTGAATATATGGTTTCTAGCTCCAAAACCGGCTTCGGTTTTTCGAGTTCAGAGGCTTCTTGTAGTTGGGGATCGCCCTCTTAGTTGGTAGCCGTGCAAAGTGAAGTGTTCGCAAGATTTTGGGTGACGTGCGCAACATAGGAATGCTGAATAATTGGGATAGGGTTTCGGGGTAGACTATACTTTAACTATACCAAGGACCCCCCCAAAAATAGCATTCGTCATAGGCCCTATATTGCGATTCGCTGGGTCGCTGGGCAGTGTGGCCAACAACGGATTTCAGGGTTATCTAGGTCAAGGCAAGGCTGCACCTTGGGGCATGGATGTGTCATTTTGTGGCCGATTGACTTGGCCAAGTCTACGGCAACACGTACTCTGGAGGTCTGAATAAGTAGCAGTAGCATCTCCTTAGAGCATCACAGTCACTATATAACTATGCCCCCAGTACTTGTTTTTTCCATGTTCAGGCCTCCATATTGCCCCTTTGCGCGACCACTCTTCCGTTCTACGGGCGCCTTTGGGGTTATGCCGCGACCCACCAGTGGTTCCCAGCCGCTTCTGATGCGCTCTCGGGGCCTCATTTCATGCATGTCATGTAACCTTAAGCCGGAATAACCTACCTTTTTAAGGACTTATATAAGGAAATCATGATAAGGAACCTTAAAAAGGTGGGTTATTCAGGGTCATGTAAGGTCTCAAGCCCAGTCTGTCTTTGAACGGTAATCGGTTTTCCATCCTAAGTTTTGAACGGCAGTACGTTTTCAAGCCTGCAGCAAATGCGAATGCCTTAACCCTGCAAGCACCCCAAACCCTAAACCCTAAACCCCTAAACCGTGAAACAATGTCCGAAAGCACCGAAACCCTGAAGGCCGGAGCAACAAGTTCCCAAAGTCAAGAACCAGACTGTTTTGTTGCTGGTCGGGTTACCTTATACTGTCTTATGATAGGAGTCGGAGTCGGAGAACAGGTTATCCCCCAACGAGGTATTATAGTTCAAGGTCTAGGTAGAGAAAAGTCAGGAGTCTCGCTGCAGGTGGAAGATGTTCCTCAACCATAAACCCTAAGCCGATAATCCTGAGTCCTTGCCTCGATACCCCACTGTATTCCGAGAGACGCCAAGACCCCTTAATTAAGCAATATCCCCTGTATGGGTTCAATTTAAGCGATATTCCTCAATGTAGGGGTTTTGTTCTCCTTGAGATCCCCTTTCATTCTCAACCCTGCAGCCTACTTCTAATGCTTGAACCCCAACATTCAGTCATTAATCTTCGACACCGCAAAAGCCTGAGAACAGGGGCTCCGCACTTTTGTTGATCAATCACGATAGTTGCCCTAAGGCTCCATGTACCCATATAGTATATACTTAGGCCTTAAAGTGCCTATCTCGGGACCCCTTTACGGCTAAAGTACCTACTATAACCCTGGGCATCAAAATAGCCCGAAAGCCACATATAGTATGGTCTTTGGGCCCAAAAGCCTCAGTATATGAGTCCTTAGATGCCTAGGGTTTACGGCTTAAGTATCTACTATAAAGGTACATGGAGCCTTTGGGTTGGTAGCAGATGACGCCGTTTTCATACGTCACTACCGGGTCTCGGTCTCCACGGAGGATGCAGTCATGGCACATGAACTCGGATCTCCAGTAGTACCCTTATTCCCTTTTTGTAGTCTTAGGTTCCTTATAAAGTTACCCAATACCAAAAAGAGAGGCCTTTTTATTCTTAGGTTACTGGGTATCCTAGTGAACTCTACTTTGAGGAGTGGCTTAGGCCATGAGGGACAGCTAACAGTGGAACCCTCAAGTACGGTTGATGTACCAGAATTCTCATAGTTTAGGGTCCTGAAGGTAATGCGGGATTTGTGTCATCAACCGTAGGTTTAGGGTTTAGGGGTTTGGGCTTAGGGTATAGTTTTAGGGCCGGTTTGGCTCCCAGCCTCCCTACGTGAGCTGGAATTAGGATTAGGATGTATCAGATGGGTCTTCGTACGGAGGGACATACGGTTGATGGTATAAATCCTGCATTACCCAAAATATGGAATATACCATATTTCCTTAAGGTAATGCAGGATTCATGTAACCATGTCCATCCTTAGGTAGGTTACATCATGACCCCCACCGAAAAAGGTGCTGGCAACGAT